TTCCCGTTTCCCCGCTTTCCCGTTTCCCCGTTTCCCCGTTTCCCCGTTTCCCCGTTTTCCCGTTTCCCCGCTTTCCCGTTTTCCCGCTTTCCCATTTCCCCGCTTTCCCATTCCCCCGCTTTCCCATTTCCCCGCTTTCCCATTTCCCCGCTTTCCCATTTCCCGTTTCCCCGCTTTCATTCCATACGTTCTTAGGAACACCTATAGCCTTCACGGCTACAGCAACTTTCATCGAGATTCATTAGTAGAAAGACAGAGATCCAATGATGACGGCAACCCCCGATAGCCTTCTTGGGAGCTCCCGAGAATCCACCTCCTCATGGTGATCGGTCCAGCCGATGAGAAATCCTGCGAATTCCCGTCTTTCCCTTGATGAAATCTTTGATTCTCGGTGAGAGGACCACTCAAATAATTTTTTCTTGGAGGAAGGACCCATCACATGAGAACGACGACCCACATATGACCTTCCTGAAGCTCCCGAGAACCCACCCCTGAATTTTTGCGGCGATCGGTTCCGGGGTTTGTGAATTTCGCGATTTTCCAATTTTTCATTTTTCTGAGTTTTCGTATTTTCGTTGGTGGAGCACTCAAAGAATTTTTTTGTGGTAGAAGGACTCATCGCATCGGAGAACTGACCCCCCATAACGACCGCTGGATCCCCCAGAACACGCTCCTAAATTTTCACGACGATCGGTTCAGCTTTTCGAGTCTATAGGGTACCCCGGACAGACAGACAGACAAACAAACAGACAAACAGACATACGTTTTTATGTATATAGATTAAAGATAGATTCATGCCTCGGCTGCGCGCACTTCCTGCATCCTATCATAGCAGCCGGCTGAAACGCGACCAATCGCCACGTTATCCATCTTCACCTTAGCCAGTCTGATGCCTGTGAAAGAGCGCTACATGCTGATGCACGTTCCGCGCTCCAGGAAAATCGATTACACAAAGCCGAGGGCTCTTCTGTAGTGACCTCTTAGCTTCCCGCGTCGGATGCTCCCGATGTGGGTAAAAGCGGCGCCTGCGCTGCTTCGCATGAGGATATCCGACATGTCCGACGCTTCAATGGACCTGTTCCATTCGAATCTCCATAGGGTTTCTGAATCTGCTGGATGATGTTTTTATGACGGTTTATCTGACGGTTAAATTATCCCGAGCAGCGATCACGTGTGCCGTCCAGAGAAACACCTGTTCCTCGTCCGGGTCGTTGTTCAGATTCACCGAGGTGTGTTTCGTTGGCGGTACGTTTTGTTGAATTGGAGCCTTGCTGCAAATAATCGCGTAGTGCTTCAAATTGCAGTAGCGGCAGCTTGTTTTCGGTCCTTCCCTGCAGTTTTTCGCCAGGTGGTTCAGCTTGAGGCAGCGAAGGCATGCTCCCGCCGCTGTCACTTTCTCCATGCGTTCCTCATGCGTGAGCTGAGCGGTGCACCTGAAGGAGGGGTGATCTGCCTGGCAGAAGATGCATGGGATAGGTTGAGAGGGCTTCGGCGAGTTCGGGACTGGCCGGCTCGGAATCCTTGATGTCGTCGAATTGATGTGGAAGCTGTTGGAGGGGTTCTTGTATGAGAGGGGCCCCGACCCTTCCTGGTTGGGTTTTCCTCTGTAGAATGGATTCTTGGGGCGGTAGTTTCCGCTGGGGCTCGGTCTGTTCTGCGCTTGGTGGTTGCTCTTAGCGACTGGGGTGCTCGGGAATTGTTTCCTCACTGACCCTTGTTTCGCCCTGAGCTCTTCCGTCCTGCGTGCTTCTGCTTTCATGAACCTGATAAGGATCTCGAGGTAGTCTGTGCTGTGGGGAAGGGGACCGGAGGTTTCCAGGAACTTGCGCTGTGTGTCAATTGTTAGTTTTGTTAGTAACCTGTTGGAGAATAGGGACAGAGAGGTGTATGTGCTGCCTAGCGCGATGAGAGCGTGAACGTGTTGAGAGACCAAATTGACAAAATTGGGTAACTTATCGAGCGTGATCTCTCCTCCGGTTGACAGGATCCTCTCCATTTCTTGGATGTGCGCGTCCACCGCGTAATTCGTCCGACCGAATTCTTCCTCGAGGAGCGCCTTCATAGGCTCGTAGTTTTCTGCTCGCAGATTGAGGTGTCTTACGGCGTTGAGAGCTCTGCCTGACAGAGCATCCTTGAGAAGGATGATCTTCTGGAGCTTCGGGATCGATCTCCCGTGGACGAAAGCGTCGAACGTGTCCATGAACCCTCGGTATTGCTTGGTATCGCCGTTGAA